GGACTAGTGCGCTTCGAAAAGGGCGTTTCGCTCGCCACATACCTACAACAACAAAACAAAATCAACAAAGATAAAACATCAGACATGAAATTTTGAACAAAATGCATGATGTAAGAAGAATCTGGTTCAACGTGGTCAAGTGCTAGTATGAAGCAGACACTTATTTTTGGCATATGGTGTGAGTATTGCCTTGAAGGTTTTTTGCTGTAATATAATTTTTGGGTTCGATGAACTTTGACCAGGAAGAGGCGCTCGCATTTTATAGACTGACTCGGAAAATTTAAAAGGTTCTTCCCTTTTTCGGAGCTTCTACTTCCGTCAAGTGTGCGCCCAACCATGTGAGACCTCTGAGTACCGGACCCGACATTACATGCGTGTATAATCGACTTCAAATACCTTAAACATCATGTTTATTGTCATTTTTGGAGGGTATTGTAGCGTCATGTAGCGGTGTCGGTCGCTTCTTCTCTTCCCAGCAGGCGTAGATGAGTCAGTGAGGATGTGTCAGTCGAAAAAGCCAAGCTTGATATAGATGATAGATCCAAATATATCCAGAGAACGAGCGCGTTGAAAGCTTGCCCCGTTGTTCTTGATGCAGTCCTTTGCTTTAAGGGGCGCAAATGTCAACCAGCCGTTCGCACCGGGCGATGGAGAACACTCTTCAGACGTCATATACCCACTCTTCCGGTCGAAAGACCTGGCATGAAAGACCTGGCTGTGGTGTGAATGAACAAGAGGATGTTTTGCATCGCAGCCAGATATACACAGATGGAGTGTTTGCGAAAGCATGCCATGCGCACACTGACACGACGCTTCCTGTCGATCCAAAAAACCGTCGTGGACTTCATTAGTGCCTGCGGAGAAGACGATGTTTCTCGACAGTTTGGGTCTATGTCATCCATCAATCACCTCTGAATGGCCAGGGTGCAGGGGTTTCCCAGTGGATTCACAGGGGCGCAATCAGTTCCACTTCACAGACGCAGACTTCAAAGGACTGCAATGGGTTTGTGCGCATATGATTGCATATGTTGTGTAAATAAACAATCATAAATAAACGTGTTTGTATGGACAGCTTTACACCTCGAATGGACAATCGGAATGAATCCCGAAAGCTTCTACTTCATATGGGAGTTGATCGAAAACCCCGTGTAAGGAGTTTTATATAAAACAGCCTTTCAGATGTTGTTAGAACCATCCGCGAAAGATTCGCGATGAGGTTCGCGAAAGTATCTTTTTTTCCGCGAAAGATTTATCGAAGGTCATCGCTTTCATTGTTTTCCTTTCTGCCGGACTGACAAAGAATAGAAACGCAAGGCAATCCTCCGGCAGAGCCAGTGGGCGGAAGTGTCCCCATATGTCACAGACTAACGAACTGAAGCCTCAACATTTCCGTGCCGAGCCCTGGCAGTGCGTAAAGGATTCTCCGATTCCTGTCCCCACTGTCACAGGCTAGCAATCTGGGTAGGCGCAGCCCTGACAGTGAGGCAACGACCTGCAGCTGCTCTGACGGGCTGCGCAGATGTTTGCAAATGTTACGGCTTCCCGGGGAACACGCCAGTGAAATTTCGCGAAAGATCCGCGAAAGTTTCGCGAATGTGCAGCTAAAGTCTAGGTTCCCAGCTTGAGGCCCCCCCAACATTCCCCAAGCTGTATCACCCTGTGTTGGTAGCTGGCGCGAGGATTGGGTTGAGTTGTGCCTGACTCTATTTGGCACAATTGTCGAACAGATGCTGCAAGTGACCCTGAGTAGCTGTGGAAACGTTCAACCATCTACTGGGGTCATGCTGCAAGATGTCTCTACCTATTTTGTGATACTATGACATGTTCCGGCTCATGTTGGCTAGACATGGTTGTAGGACCATGCTTCGCGATGAGGCCGCGAAAGATCCGCGAAAGATATCTTTTTTTTCCGCGATGAATGGCCATTCCAGGATGAAAGAATCAACCACCATATGTAATATGTATGCACATAGAAAAATAGATACGGGAAAAGACAAATATACATATGATTTAAGAAATTGACACTTGAACCAGCAAAAAATGACCTCACATGACCCCCCCCAAAGAAATCCTTTTAGACTTCCCCATTCTTTTCCACCGGAGTTCCTGTGGCATCCCGCTGGGCCGACATCGTCGTTCTTCGAAGAGGTGCGACCGGCCAAGCTCCACGCACAGCCGGAAACCTCAGTCGGTCGGCGGGGTGGAACGGAACACCTGAAGAGCTCTTGTTCCTAGTAGCTTCTTGTTACTAGTAGTAAGGCACTTGTTACTAGAAACGATGCAGTTGTTTCCAGTAGCTTCTTGTTACTAGTAGTAAGGCACTTGTTACTAGAAGCGATGCACTTGTTCCTAGTAGTTTCTTGTTACTAGTAGTAAGGCACTTGTTACTAGAAGCGATGCACTTGTTCATAGTAGCTTCTTGTTACTAGTAGTAAGAATGCTCCTAGTAGCGATGCCAGGAGCCCTTAGTAGCGTCCTTGCTTCCAGTAAGGCCAGGAGCCCCTAGTAGCTTCTTGTTCCTAATCATGGCATGTGCCAGATCATGATACATGATTGCGGTAGTTGTGGATGTGGGGTGGGCTGTGGCTCACATCTCTGTTGTGCACACTTTTCAGGGGCTTCAATCCAAGAATGCAGCAAATACAGGTACAGTAGAGTACAGTAGATGATTTTTTGCCCTTTGGGCAAATCTTTGGTCAAAGAAGCGAAGGGATTCTGCAGGTGGACTTGCGTGAATCGAATGACAAACCGCGTGGTTGTGGTTCCCCCTGAACTCTACCGCCCCAATAAAGAAGATCCTTTCAATTTGTGTTCCCCGTCCTCTCCGGACCGCGTGGGCAGGCGGGCTTTTCTGAAGCCGTCACAGCCTCGGACACCGTTGTCCATTTCGTTCCTTGAGACCCGGTCTGACATGACATAACTATATATATATATTTATGGTTACTTATCTATATATAGTTATGACCTATTGTACTATAGTATATGCAATGCGTACTATAGTACTATATATGACCCATTGCATCCTGGTTTAAGTCAAGTGCTTTTCTTCTATTTTGAGAACTGACTCCTCCGTTTGGGGTCACAATGGCTACACTACTAGACTGGGCTTCCATGCCCGAGACCCTTTGCATGGTCCACGAAGCAAACCACATGTCTTCTACTCAGGGAGATTGGAGCTCAAAAGAAGATCGTGGCCTCACCTACCATGGATCCTGGCTCGCCCTGGGCTTAGAGTACGTGCACACGTCCGTGGTTCGAGAACATGGGCAGTTTCGCAAGCAATATTGAGGAGGCATGAGAGCAAACATGATTTCACTTTGAGCACTTGACGGAGGAGAAGCACTGCTCAGCAGTGGAAGTCCAATGGATTTTCGGACACTGGATTTCAACCTCAACCTCTGTACCTCATCAAACCCCCCTTGGGTCATTGGGTCACGCCACAGGACAGGGGAGCCCAAACCACTTGTTGCACACGGCCTCGCCTCGCCTCGTGTTCTCCGGACGGAGGTTTTGCAGCTCCGTGTGGTCCGAGGCATCGATCCGTTGGGACGACGGGGGCGATCGGTCACGGGTCCGATGGACGTTGGACGTTGGACGTTGGGAAGGCCACGCATGGAGGTTGGACTGTTGACATGTACATGGATTGTGGAAAAAGTTTGGAGTGAATTACTGAGATACTTCGCAGATGACACCGGGTGAGCGGGTGCTGTCCGTGGTGGATTCGCACCCCCAAGCTCTTTGGAGGCCCATCATGTGCCCTGTTTGGAACACGATTCGCACACGTTTTGCACACCGACCAACCTCTCAGTGGAGGAAAGCACACCGAATAGCAGCTCTCTCCCATGTCGAGATGGATTGGTTTTGGTTTCCCCACGAAACACTGAACCAGGTGGAGATTCGTTCACCCGTCTTGCTCGGGGAAACCCGTCCCGTGCCCCACGGCAAAGTTGAATTAGGCGTCCTCACCGCTGCCGTCCCCCGCTGCTCGGTGAAAGAGCTGAGCGGGTGGTCAGTTTTCAGCTGGCGAACGAGCTCAAAGAAGAAGACCCAGCAAAACGTGGTAGACGTGATATATTCTAAGAGCGCTATCCGCGTTCCAGTCCGGGTGAAGGACCGCCACGGCCTGAAGATGGCCAGTGGACAGGCTCCAATAAAAAAGCGAGAAAGGCGGAGAGGTAAAGCGAGTATACCGTGGTCGGCTGGTAGGGATGTCTTATGCCTTATGTTATAATTTATCAACCATCTACTTTGCCACAATATAGGTGTTGGACTTTTGTGTTTTGTCACCAGTGAGTTGAAGTCCTTCTGCTACCCTAGAACCATAGCCAGACCACGAACGGGGCTTTACCTCTCAAGGATTCACTGAATTGGACAGGATTCACTGCCCTGGACCAAAGAGAAGGGCTCGATCCACCAAACCACAAATCCAAAAAGCTCGATCCATGAGAATGCATTTGATTTCTTTTGCTCTTGGGAACTACAGTTGGAACCCAAACAGAGCAACACAGATGCCGAGCTCGGAGTGGCCACTCCCGAGCTCGCGCCGGGTTGCAACACATAGAGTGGCCACTCCAAAACCCCACATGGCGCAGCTCGGGACCAAGTTTGAGGATCGGTCACGCCGGTCACGCCCCGTCCAAGGCCGAGTCACGTGCCACTTCCCCAAGGCGTCGGTCCGGCTCCAGTGTGGAAGCCCGGGGGGTGCCGTTTGGAATTCTGCAGATTCGGATGCGCAGCTCGCTTCGCCCATCTTCCGCAAGCACAGTCTCTCCGCAAGCGTTGCTAGGTGATGAGTCCAGCGCAAGCACAGTTCGATGGCTCAGACCCATGAGAGTAAAGCTGTGAAAGGCTTTTTGATGCTCTGAATGTGTTTTTGCACCGACCATCATTATGCGAAGTAATGGATCTTTTGTTGATGAGTGCAGAACTTTTTGACTCAAACCAGGGTGTTAGTCTGGGTGCAGCCAGCGGACATCCTTGGTTGCAGGCCTAAGTGCACCATGGCACACTGGGAGCTCCGATACCACAACAGCTTCATCGATGTGGAGGAGGTCAGTGGGACACCCCGCTCGACGGATGGCGTGCGAGGCTCCAAGCTCCGGGCACGGAGCCATCCACCCATGCGAACACCGCAAGAGTGGTTCGAGTGCCCGGAGGAAGAGGAACACCGGATCTATGTGAATGACCTTTCACAGAAGGTGGAAGCTCTGACATCTCTGGAAGCTCCGGATCGATGCACGGGAGCCGTGGTGGAGCCCTTGCCCGGCTCCGGTGCCTCCGTCGGAAGGGGACGAGCCGCTGGTGGAGCTGGCGGCGAAGAGGAAGACCAGGTGTCCATCTGTGGCGAAGACCAAGTGTCGAGAGGTCCAAAGGTTTTAAACCTTGGAAGTGGTGGACATCCAGAGCTGTGCCGTCGTCCCTGCCTGCATTTTGCTAGGGGCAGTTGTGCCAATGGCATGGAGTGCAACTTTTGCCACCTGGAGCACAATGATAGGGAGGCCAAGCTCGACAAGAAGCAACGGGGCATCATGCAAAATCTCAGCATCAGGGAATGCTCTGCCCTCATCTTCCACCTTGTCGAGCAAAAGGTCTCCGCAACCAGTGCGGAGAAAAGTGGACAAGAGCTGATCGAGTTAGTTCGAACAGAGCCTGGGCTTTCACTCTTGATTTGACATACGTCCCTTGCAAATTAAACCACCCAAAGAATCCCCCAACACCCTCCCCAAACCAACACATCCGCTTTCGGGGTCCGAAAGCGGATGCACTGTTGGGGTCGGAAAAAGAAACGTCGGTTTCAGCAGTGGATCCAGGCAAACCACTAACTGTATAGTGGTTCCAAAAAGCCATAACGGACCTCTTGAAACCCTGGTTCCTTGTATGGTGGCTAGCTGGGATCGACTGGGCTGGTCTGCTGTCTGAAAAACACTCGCCGTTCACGCGTCGGATTCGCGATGATTCGTGTCCCGAGTCCCGAGCGTTATTTGGGCGAAGCAGTCCCGAGGGCGTCAAAGCGACAATACCAGTAGCGTCCTTGCTCCTAGTAGTACGGCCAGGAGACCCCCTAGTAGCGTCCTTGCTCCTAGTAGTAAGGCCAGGAGCCTCTAGTAACTCTAGTAGGGTCCTTGCTCCTAGTAGAGAGCAAATTGTTCTGTCACGATTGCGATCAGGGTGTTCCCAACAGTTGGTGTTCCTTTGCAGATCTTTCTTTCACACTTGCTTGGCACGGTGTCTGGGTCTTTAGAAGCTTTAGTGTTTCGGGAGTCTTTGACCTTGTCAATCTTGGGCCAGTGTTTGCGAAAACCATCAGGAAGCGGCCGGTGCTGACTTATCCTTCATTCCTCAACGGGACGTGCGCAAGTTGAAGAAGACCTTGGCGCGGCAAAGTCTTCATAGCCTGATCAGTGTGTTGGGTAAAGCTGCCTCGTCGCATGGAGCCTCCAGCACTGAACGAATCTTCTCCACCACCGAGAGATTTCGTGATATGCTCCTTTCAAAGGCTCCCTGATTCATGATTGATGAATTTGGGATATTGTCAAGTCTTTAGTCATGGCTCATCGAACTTTTTTTGTTTGCCCCTACACCAACTGATGGTGGCCACTTGGAGCCAGAGGCTTTCGGACATATTCCGTGAATTCGCTTCCAAAGTGACGCACTCTCGGCATCACAAATCTTTTGCTTGCCGATTTGTGCCATCATCAAAGGGTCAGACGCAAATTTTTTAAGTGCATTGGACCGGAGAAGGCAAGTGTTTCAAAATCCTGGAAGCCAAGTGCAGCACTGTCGTGGAGTATACATACCAATAGGATCCGAATAATAGGTACTGTATATATGTTGTATATGAAGGGAGAAAGGGGGGTGAGTCTGAACTGGGAAAAGTGTTTCGAAGCGATTGGCAGAACTGCAGAGAGGGGCAAGATGGAATTCGTTTCTGATGTGCTTGTGGGTCAAGCGACCCCCCTTGCGGCCCTCACATGACCCCTTCGTTTGGGACTGAGTGGATGAACTGGGTGCAATTCATCATTGAACCTCCAGGACTCTCCATAACCATAACCCATGTCGAGAAACTCAACAAACAACTAACTGACCATAACTAACCCATTTTGGATAGTACCACAGACCCAACAATTAGCCCCCCTCCTTTCGGCCCAGGTGGACACGAAAAAGCTGGCTTTCGAATTGCAGGCCGTGCAAAGCCCCGAGTCGGGGGCTGGAACGTGAGCTCAAAGCGCTACTTACTTGTAGGATAAACTCGATGAATTCAACTAGAGACCATGAAATTAGTGGCTTGGAGATGGTTTTAGGTTTACGGTTACTGTAAGAACTTTGACTTGACCAGACTTGGAAGGTTTGCTCCTTTGAAGTTTGGCCACCCAGCTGCTTCCCCAAGCAGGAGGATCGTTGACCGCACATTTGTGCGGGTCGCTCGCAGCGATCTCGGGCAGACTCGGATCAAGTTGCTCACTCGCATGGCGCCGTTTCGAAGGTCTCCGCCCCCCCAAACCGGGACGGTCCAATAGGGGGGGGGGGCTCCTGGAGATCGCTCCGAAACGGAGCGTTTGCGTCGACCCGGCGTTGAGCGACCCGACGTCGGGTCGCGACCCGCAACAGGTGGATGAAATACCCGAAGTGAAGAAGCCACCATCACCTTGCGCCGGGGACCTTGGAAGCAAAACGCCCCTGGTGTGTGGGGAGGCCACTGAGCTTTGTCGGAGCTGAGCTGCGCCAAACCCAAACGGCGGAAAAGAGGGGCGGAGACGGAGAAGGGAGCTGCAGGGTGTGAAAGAGGCGCTTTTTGTGGGTTCCGGTGAGTCGGGTGCACGTTTCTTGTTCCACACATCAAGCCCGACCCTGATCGACCCTGAAGAGGATGCTCGGATCGCGAACGGAACGCAGCGTCGGATCGCTCCGTTCAGGGTCCGACCCATGATCGACCCGCTTTGCACCAGGTGTGGATGGAAGTGGATCTTGACACTGAAGCTTCGAGATGCATTGTGGCGACCTGAGAGAAATCAGATCTGTGCCAGCGCAATGTGTATGTGTTTTCATTTTTTGGAACATGCTTGAACCATCGCTAGCATGAGTCATCCTGATCTGAGCCCACAAGTAACTGGGTCATGTTCTTTTCATCCAAGATCATCCAGTGGGTCTGATGTTCGTGGTGCCCTGATTCAATGAATTCGATCTAGTGTGGTGTTTTCTCACACATTGGTCCGGCCCTGACAACAGGCCCGTCAGGGGTGTGGAAGATCCGCGTGCCGAACTCGAAGAATCCTCCGTGCATACATAGACCCCCTGTCATAGATAGAAAAGTAGATCACCACTGGAAAAGTGGTTTGGAAACCGTGCCACTATCACTCTGAGTCCTTCGAGTCCTTCTTGATCTCACTCATGACACCACGCGACGCGATGGAACATCGAACGGTGCGAGGAGCATCGACAATGGTGGGCTTGGGCTCGCGCCCAAAGAAATGAGGAGGCCTCCCTCCGCTCTGGTCGACGAGAGTGGCCCACTGAAGGGTTTTGGCAGACAGTGAAGACAGTGAAAGTAGCCTGACAATGGAGGCTTTTGACTTATATAAAAAGCAAATCACTCGTCCAAAAGGTCTGTCTTTGTCTCACTCTTTGCGCAATCAAGTGAGGGGGCCTCTTTCGGTAGAAGAGGCACAACTGAATGAAGCTTGAATTCGCTGGGGAGAATCCATGATTGGCAGCGACCCCCGAAAGTGCCCATTTTCAGAGTTCCACTTTTTGATGCAGGAGTCGCTGCCAATGCCAACTCAGGCGAGAGACTCTGGAGTCTCATGACATGTACCTCACGACATGTATCTCATGAGTGCTTGATTGAGCTCTTTTGTTTCAGTGGAGTTGTTTCAAATAATACTGCAATACTTTGCTCTACACTTCTCATCACTTATCAAAGGATTCCCCGGACGATGGATGCCCAAACGAACATGGCTTTCCTCTTGTGGACCGCAGACGGGCCATTCGATGCTTGACAAGTCTTTTCGTGGCGCCCGATGTTGGGCTGTGGATGTGAAGATCTGACCGGCAAGCGACAGATTTCGTAGGAGGATGACCAGGCTGGACCAACTAGGGACAACACGGAGTTTTTAGCGGTGTGCGGTCGGTACCGTTGCCAGGTACGTTTGGACACCGAGTTGGAACGGAGACGACTCCGTGAACGCTATGAATGCGTCACGGTCCCAGAGAAATGAATGACCTGGAAAACACCAGCACACTGCCACAGCAGCGAAATTTGATGGACATGTGAGCAACTGGTGGTAGTGAATTTTCAACGGGATTGTCTTTTCATGCTTGGGGTTGGATGTCCACCCCTGGTATAGCTCATTGTCATGTGACTGACTCGGGCTCAAGAAATGATCAGCGTCAAGAAATGAGGATCAGCCAAGAATGTTTCAGTTGCAGCAGCTGTTGACATACCCAGCCTTGCTTCATACTCATACCATCTCATACCCATATGGGCATACATTAAAATGGGAAGACCCATGAAGACCAGCGTCCGGTTCTCTTTCCAGCGTCCGTTCCAGCACTCAGGTTGCAGCACTCTGGCGTGAGCTAAGTGTGGACAATGAGGTGCTGGTCAGTCTGTCCGTCATCCGAATTGAAGTCTTCCGTGTTTTCTCCGCCGTGCTCCGGTCTCCATCGGCCCCCTGACCCGGCGGACCGGACTGACCCGCGACGACCGAGCGCCCCGACCACCGCCACCCACTGGTGCTTGGGGTTTGGCTCAGCTGGGCCACAGGTCCTGCACACCATCCTGGGATATGGCGTGGAAGGGCGCACCTTGGTGGTGACACATCAGGCGGGGGCGGAGTGAACGGAGGGGGTGGAACGAGGGAACGAACGGCAGGGCATGCCAAGTTGATTGACAGTGGGTGTAACAATGTCTACCAGGGCCCGCCTGTTTGGGGTGGTTAATGGACACCCCTTAACCTCTAAGGAGCTATAATTGGACACCCCTTAGGGGGGCCCTGGTATTTGATCTTTGCTTAGTCCTTTCTCCCGAGTTTTCTACCAAGTTCTAAGGAAGTCTGGTTCAGGGTCCCCATCATCCACCTGATCTATATATGTACCTTTTTGGTCGAAAAAGACGAAAAGACCCACGCAGATGGCACCCACCTTTGTGGGCCTCCGCGACTTTGCCTTCAAGAAGGATCGCCCGATGCCTAGTGAGCCGAGAGTACCGTGAGGCATCCCACGATTGGTCGGAACATCATGGCTCGTGCTGAATGCATCTTTGGAAATACCAAGAGAAGAAATGAAATACAGTGCTGTTCTTTCGAGAAGGCAGGGGGTGATGTGCAAGTTTCTCTGGAATTTTCTGGCATGTCGAGATGAAAAACTAGATGGCAGTCATTCTGGCCATTCTGGACACTTTTATCCACTCTCCCGTCCTTGGCCTTGCTTTTTTGTTGGAATCATGTGGAATTCCGAGGCTGTCACCTTTTACTGACACAGGCCATCAAGGCGTGTCCCCTGCTGAACCGGTGCCGGTCGCCGGTCCAGTCGCACCGTCTGCATACGCATTCGCATCGCCACGAGCGAATGTGCCTGGGGGCCAAAAAATCTGGTTGGAATCCAATCTAGTTTCAAACCCAGTGGTTTTTCCCAACCTTGGTGAAAGCAAGTTCATCAGTTAAGCCGAGCAAGATTTGACTGGACTGGTGCTTTTGGTGTCTTTTCTCATATATATATATATATATATATTTCTTTTTTGTTCCCCACCTGTCAGGTGAGGGTTGTTAGATTTTATGTTAGCTGACTTCTCCTTCTCCTCCTCCTCCTCCTTCTTCTCCTCCTCGCCGGACCTCAACCACGACCATCCATGCCCAGTGTTCCCTGCCGGACCTCAACCACGACCATCCACGCCCAGTGTTCCCTGCCGGACCTCAACCACGACCATCCACGCCCAGTGTTCCCTGCCGGACCTCAACCACGACCTTCCACGCCCAGTGTTCCCAGCCGGACCTCAACCACGACCATCCACGCCCAGTGTTCCCTGCCGGACCTCAACCAAGACCTTCCACGCCCAGTGTTCCTGCCGGACCTCAACCACGACCATCCGCGCCCAGTCTTCCCAGCCGGACCTCAACCACGACCTTCCACGCCCAGTGTTCCCTGCCGGACCTCGACCACAGCACACAACCACAAACACAACCACAAACACACAACCACAAACACACAACCACAAACACAACCACACACAACCACAACCACAACCACAACCACAACCACAACCACAACCACAACCACAACTACAAACACACAACCACAACCACAACTACAAACACACAATCACACACACAATCACAAGCACACAACCACACACACAATCACAAACACACAACCACAAACACAATCACACACACACACAACCACAGACACAATCACACACACACACAACTACAAACACACAACCACAAACACACAACCACAAACACAACCACGAACACATAACCACAAACACACAACCACAAACACGAA